TGCTGATCACTCAAAAGCAAGTATTTTTCAGACACTGGTGAGATACATTTCAGAGATATGAAGTATTAAGGGCCATCAGTTTGGCAAAGGATATGACAGAAATTTAGGGTTGCCAATCCAAGGCTGGCAACCAGTTGTAGACTTAGATTGGGGTGGGGCCCTCTCTGATGACACGGACTCATTCTGCATTGGCTTTTCCCTTCGTTGTTTTACCAAACCCATGATGGAACAGAAATCCCACTCTGCATTGCATGCTGCTTTTACTTCTTTTGATCATTTAATTGTAGCCTCCACCAGTGTTGCCGCTTTGACTTTCTTTGATCATTGGGTTTTATTGTACCTTCTGCATAAATTTATGGCCATTTTATCGCCATTCAGAGGTGACTTTGCAGTCAGTAGGGCGTTGCCCCAAGGTATCTGGTTTTGAGCTGCACTTTTTCTTCCCAGTCAATAAAATGTAGAACGAACGCTAGATGCAGAATCGCCCACAATTATATCATACAGTGCTGATCACACCCCTATTTCCCCCAGCATCCCACACACACACACTGCTGCCCAGCTGAATAGTGGCAAGAAAGCTGGCAGGAGATGGGAGGTCTCCTACCAAAGTGAGAGAGCCGGCATCCATACAGAAATTACATTTCCCAAAGAAGTGTATTCATGTCCAAAGTGATTTCACTTACATCACTCATTAAATGAAGCCTTTCATTATTTCTTTGAGGTTACATGGAGGGTGGGGTGAACAGCTTCCACGCAACCAAAAGGAGCCACAGGGCTGAGAGTTCAGTGCCACCAGCATCCACATCCTTTTCTAAAGACAGCACGCGTGGGAAGTTTCTCACCACCATCCAACTGTGCTAGACATTCTGCACAACAGGTTACCTGGCAATGAATAACCTTCTTCTCAGATATCCCAGCAGAGAAGCCTCTGTCCAGGCCAGTCCTTAACTACTGATAGGATCCTCAAGCCTCCTGGGGCTCATACCTAGAGACTCAGGGGATGCAGCCTGGTGATTCATGGACGCTGCCTTGCCATTGTGTACTCATGGGCAGAAACTGCAGACACTTTGCAACTGTATGTATGTATGTATTCATTCATTCATTCATTCATTCACTCACTCACTCATTCTGTTTTTCTCCCCACTGGGACCCAAAGCAGCTTATGGCTTCATTTTCTCCTCCTCCATCTTTAAGAAGAAATTGTAAGACTCTCTTCTCACATGAGCTCTAGTGTTCACTTACAAATTACTTTCCCACTCTGTTTTTAACTAGGGTCCTGATCAGACGGGAACATCCTGTTTTGCCGCGCTAGGGAGCCATACTAAATAGATACTGGTGAAAGTCCAGTGTTTTTGCTTCCCGACGGGCCATTGATGGATTTTTCCCTGTATGATTGTTCCGTCGCACAATCAGCCCGTTGGGATGGTCTGACATCAGATCATCCCGAGCGGCTGCCATTTTAAAAAATTCTAAGCGATATGTGCATAAACATGTAAACGCATGACAGCCGCAGAGCTCTGCTCAAACGTTCCAGACAATTTCATGTTTCTGAACAGCCCGTGAATTTTATGAACTGCGTTAATTAAAAAGGTACCTAAAGGAAGGTACCACTGCCGGTGCTTTAACCATTCAATTCCACGCATGCACGGAAAAACAAGTACACATTGAGGCACAGATGTGCATGTGCAAACAGGATTAAAAAAACCAAAACCGACCGTGCGGCTCCTTCAGGTGGATGCTGTCTAGACAATCCACTGCAGAGTACGCGTGTGGTAAGGGGAACTGTCTGGTCATGCAACGCTAGATAAAAAAGATCTGGATCAAATTAGAGCCACCTGTCTGAATGCACCCTAGGACCACCAAGATGGAAGAGATCTTATAAGCTCCAGTCTAGTCTCCTGCTAAATCCCAATGCTAGAACATCCATGGAAGATGGCTATCCAGCCTCTGGTCAAAGCCTTGTAGTGAGTTTTCCCCTCAAATGGCTGTGGCCCCGCCCCCAGCGTGCCTGGTGTCATCACGTCACATCTGGGTGACGTGCATGTGGTGCGTGTGTGCTTTGCGCGTGCGCACACACTCAAGACGCCGAACGGGAGCCCCCGCCGCAAGGTAAGAACAATTTGGCAACCCTACCATCACTGCCTGCTAGGTACACGGAATGTCAACATCTGGCTATGGCCTACAATTTTTCTTTTATTCACTGCTAAAGCATTTAGGAAATTTTCTTAGCTGGAAAAACAAAAAAAGTCTGGATTAAACAAAAGCAGAGAAAACAACTCTGGGAATGTTCAACATAGAGAATGCTGTAAAAAGCATATAAGATGAGGAACGATGAACTTACCTGGGGCCTTGTATTCTCTGAAGGTGCAGTTTACCAGTGGAAAATAAACCACTATTGGAGCTCTGGGATCTTCATCTGAGAACACATAGCACTCCTTGGGATTCTTCCTGTCTTCCTCCGTCAGGTTAATTTTAGGGAAAGGTATTCCTTGCACTTCACAGTATTTTGCCATCATCTCTGTTTGCTGTACAAAACACCCAATAGTACAGTGTTGAAACCAACGCAAATGACATATATGTTGCTTTCCAAAAAGAAGCCAACAGGCATGCTGAAGCAACCTGTGCCGAGCCACGTTGAGACCCATTGGCAGGCTGAAAGATCAGCTATGAAACCAACAATGCATGCAAAACATGTGTACATCGAAAATCTAGCAAATGTTTGTAGTGACTGAGTCCCTCTGAAACCAGTAGAACTGACTGAGATCCCCTCTATGCTTTCAGTGGGATTTAGCTGTAACGGAATTTAACTGGATTCGGGACCTTTGTGTTAAAACTACATCACTCTACTGTCAATCTAAAACAAACTGTGATCAGAAAACTCTACAATAAAGAACCTAGTGCCTTAGAAGAATATATATATATATACACAAACACACACACACACACATACCAGGAAATAATTTGTGTTATTCATATAGGAGGGAAATGTTTATTTCAGCAACCATTTTGGCCTAATCTAGAATGAAACGTGTTAATGGTAAAGGCTGGAAAAAACAGATCAGCCACAGAATCCATGCATTCATTTTTCAATTATATGCATCATCTGTTATCCAGTGTGCTCAGCAGTTTCTTAGGGTTTTAAATACTTGGTGATTTTTTTTCCCACAGCAATCATATAATCACTTCTTCAGAGGTAAGGCGGGACTGTCAGAAGTGCACAATTGGAAGAATGCTGCCAGAGAGAACTCAGTGACAAAACAGCATGGTTGGTTATACCACGCTCATTAAACCCTGTTCACACACCACTCCCCAAAACAGGCAGGAGACATCTGACAGTCACTTCCAGTCAAAGTAAACAATACTGATAGGGAGACAGTGACATCAGTGTTTTGCTGATGACACTCTAGCAATTAGTCAAAACTCTATAGCTAAACCACAGGGTCTGGGCTAATACCAGAGTGTAGCCAGCAACATCATTATGTCATCAGTGAGGCTCTACTCCAGGAGGCCAGGATCCTCAGGGCTCCACAGCTCACTGGACTTGGGTGGGATGTTCTGAGGGCCAGAGTCAGCATGGCAATAGTCATTGGGATATACCATCGTATCCACAAACACAAAAAACAATTCCTTCTCACCTTAAAGATATTGTAATAATCATAATCCACCGCAAAGATGACATCAACATTTCTCTCTGGCTTGAGAAGAGGTGGCCCACTGTTGTTAACAAAATAGCCCACATCTATTAAGCAGAGGGATTTCTCCACTGGCGTCAGCTTGCGTGGGAAGCCATCAAACACAGTATCTGAAACAGCATTTTTAATCTTATCAGCATAACATTGGAATAGAGATCATAAACATCTGAAAATAACTGACAAGACTAGGTAATTAATTTCTGTCACCAATAAGATTCTTCATGCTACATAGAGCTCCTCTTGACAATAACCAGCTTATTTTATATTGGGCACAGTCAATAGAAAAATATTATGTACAAGTCCCAGTGGAATAAGATATAAATTTTATATAGGTTTTAAATCATATAAATTGAATTGAAAAAGAATTTTTGAAAGAAGTCACACTTTTAAGATGCTTGAAATTTTATATGGATTTACTAACAGAGGTGAAGACAAGGAGTTTTATACACTGCTTTTCTCTACCCTAAGGAGTCTCAAAGCAGCTTACAAGTACCTTCCCTTCCTCTCCCCCACAACAGGCACTTTGTGATGTAAGTGAGGCTGAGAGACTTCTGAGAATTGTGACTGGCCCAAGGTCACCCAGCAGCCTTCCTGTGGCGGAGTGGGGAATCAAACCCCTGACCTCCAGATTAGAGTTCACTGCTGTTAACCTCTACCCCACACTGGCTCTCTTAGATTAGTAAACCTTTCATCTGCTTTCTGTCTGGTTTTCAATTTTAACTCTCCTTCCCCAAAGAAGTGCAGGGCACCATATGTTGGCAGAGTTCAGAAATAATTCAATCTACACTTTGGAGTTTGCTTTCACTGAATTTACTGCAATAGGATTTTGTAGAAAGACAATAACTGACTGCAGGCCACTAATGCAACATAGAGGTCTCCAGACAACAAGCACTAACACATACTAACACAGCAGCAGAAAAAGAGAAGCAACAAAAGGCAGGTTGAACTGCAAGAGAAAACATTCAATAAACCCTAAACACTAGAGAATGCTCCACAGCTCTCTTTAGGAAACAAGTAGACTAAACTACTCCTTCAGCAACATTCAGAGTAATCAGACTCTTAGGCTGTCGCTTCTCCAACACCCCTTCTCGATAGCATGTGTACTATTCCACCATGTTTAATTTTGCTAGAAGAGTCCAATGGTGGTCTCCAGGCAATGGTTACATGAAAGCATCATCAGTTTTGTGCCCAGGTGGCAATTTGGTGAATATCCAAGTCTTATTCTTGTGAAGTGATTGCATCTCTTCTGCTGCTGCCTCTCTCCACTTTCTGGCTTTACTTTCAGGCAACTTGGAGATATCTTCCCAAGACAAGGGCTTTGGTATTTTCTCCGTTTTGGCTATATAGGATTGTCTGCGAGGTGGTAAACCTTTAGTTGTTCGGGTTGAGCATCTGAGGGTTGTAACTTTGCTTGATCCTGTTTCCTCTTGAAACCCTGACAAGTCTGTGCTGAATCCCACCTCTACTTTGCTTGGTCTTGCTGTCTCTCTTTTTTAAAATAATTTTTTTAATTGATTTTCTTACTACACACTACAAACTAACACTACAAAACTAAAAACTACAAAAGAGAGTAACAAGGCACTTTGATAAGCTATTCAAACACTTTAGATATATGTCTACATGATAGAGATTATATTCAAATCTTTAAATTGTAATAAAAGTGTTCAAATAGAAAAGACAAAGATTTTTTTAGGTATTAAACCACATCTGGATAATACTACGATTTCATTAAATGACAGCATCGGCGCTCCCGCCAGCCCGGCAATGCCGATGGTGGGCGGGGGCTGTTTTGCTGCCCCGAAGAATCGGGACGGCAACAAAGCAGGATGCTATGCATCCTGACGTGGGGGTGCTTGCCCACCCTCCCGCCCTGCTCTTAGTGCAGGCTGTTGCTGGTCGCCAATGGGGCCAGGTAGGAATTTTTCACTTCCACCCTGATTGGCTGAATGGGTGGGGGTGTTTTTGCCTATCTTACACTGAGGGCAGTGGACTGAGGGGATGTTTGAGGTGGACAGCGCTAAATAGGTTGGTCACTTGGCAGATTTGTGCAAGCAAGAAAATGGAACTGGTGAGAACCTACCAGCATATCACACTCGAGACTTCCCTCCACGTAGATGCAGAGCCATTTTCTCTGTTTAGCTTTCCAGATTGAACAATTCTTTTTCAGATGTCCAGCCTTTTTGCAGCAGTAACACATCCTGGCTCCTGTTGTGTGCTTTATCTCCTCATTTACCTTGAGAGCTGTTTCTGGTTTTTCAATGTCTTCACCTGCTTGTAGTTCTTTTCTGCGATTATACTCATCCATTAATTTGCCCTTAACGTATTCAAGTGTTAGATCTGCTTCTGGTCTGGTCTCAAGGGTACTGATGAGTGGACCATAGGATTCTGGAAAACTGCACAGTAATAGTGCCACTATCTGATTGTCTTTCTTCTCCAAGCCCACACAGCTGTTCCACAATTTCTAGCATGGCATTTACATGTTCATGCATATCTTGCTCTCTGCCAAGTCTCATTTTATACAGTTTACACAGCACATATAGTTTGCTGTTTAGATCTGAATGCTCATACACATTCTGGAATGCATTCCACATACTTTTAGCTGTTTCTTCTTTCCTTATGTGGATCAGCTGATCATGTTCCACTAACAGGCTTATAGTTGCCTTTGCTTGCCTGTTTTTCTTGTCCCATTCTGCAGGATCATTGGCTAGTCTGTCAATGCTTAAAACATCCCAGAGGTCATCTTTGTACAGCAGCCTTTCCAGTTCGAACTTCCACAATGGATCATTGCTATTATTCAGTTTGGCCACAGCAAACTTAATATCTGCACTGCTTGCCATCTTCCTCTGGACTGGGTGTGTCCCTCCTTTCTCTTACTGACTCATAGTTATAGCTTTCTTGCAATTTATCCTGAGGGCTGGGCCCAGAACCTGTTGACAGAGTTCAGAAAATAATCCAATCCATGCTTTGGACTTTGCTTTCACTGAATTTACTACAACAGGATTTTGCAGAAAGACAATAACTGACTGTAGGCCACTAATGCAAACTCCACACGACAAACTCCAACATTTCCGATTTCTATCACATGCCCAGTGGTCCTGCAGACAGCCCTTTAACTTGAATTGTAGAGTTGATCAGAATTCTGACATCCATTTCTATTGCACACGGAAAAGTCTATAGCTTTTCTGGCCCACATAACAACAAATTTCATACAAGGTCCTTGTGGCTGCCACACAGACTTCACATCACACAGATGATAGGCATCCTGTGCCTCCCCAGTGCATATGATTACAACTGTCATACCCTTGAATAAGAGGTTTCCACCTTCCTTCACCCACCATGTTGTTTTTAAATCTTGAAACAACACTGGGGATATTCTGTACTGAAACATGCAGCAATGTTAATGATGTAATTTTTGAAATGGAGGATCTAGCAGCTCCCTAGGTCTATGAAAACAGTATAGGGGTGGCTGAAACCCCTTCTCCACACACACCATGATTGCAATCAAAATCAGGTCCATGTGCATCCAGGGCCAGCTCAAGAGTTCCTTGCACTTTAGAGCTGGTGGTCTCCCGCTCTTTCTCCCTCCCTCAAGGGGGTGGGGCTCTGAACCATTACAAAGGAGGGAGAGAGTAGAGCTGGGCACAGCAAATCTGGTGGATGCCTGCTTGTCCTCCTGTCCTACTTTGCAGGGGCAAGACAGGGGAAGGTAAGCAAGGCCACGTGGGCTGTGGTGCTGGGGTACTGCTCAGAGCTGCTGCTTGTCCCCATGGTGCTCCCATCCTCTGGCATCCCAGGGACTTGCCTAGGTCCACCTAGTGGACTGGCTGGCTGGCCCTGTATGCATCTGGGAGAGCCAGTTTGGTGTAGTGGTTAAGTGCACATACTCTAATCTGGGGAAACTGAGTTTGATTCCCCACTCTTCCACTTGCAGCTGCTGGATGACCTTGGGCAAGCCATAGTTTCTGTCAGAGCTGTTCTCTCAAGGACAGCTCTGGAAAGAGCTCTCTCAGCCCCACCTACCTCACAGGGTGTCTCTTGTGGGGAGGGGAAGGAAAAGGAGTTTGTAAGCCACTCTGAGACTTTGAGTGAAGGGTGGGGTATAAATCCAATCTCCTCCTCCTCCTCTTCTTCTTCTTCTTCTTCTTTCATCGCACGTCTGATACAAATATGTTGTATGAATTGGCCAAGGGTAAGCAGCACGTTGAACATTTGAAATACATTGCATAAATATTAGCTGGTATTATAATACTAGCAAAATCCATCAGACTATGCTTTGAGAATGTAAGGAGACAATGTGTTGACACACTTCATTATGTTGCAATGTGAAAGTCTCATAGCTGCTTAATCCAAAAACATAGTTTAGGATTCAAAACCATTAATTCATAGGAATTGTGTAATGGATTTTATATCGCCTAGAGCAAAAAATAAGAAACAGAAGTTACATAACTGAGAGAAAGAAGCAATAGGCAAGTGGAAAACAAGTTAGATTGTTTTTCCTAAAGAGGTATAAACCCAATCTAAGAATTTTTTCAGAAGCAATTAAGTTCAGTCTTCTTTTCCTACCATGAGCATTCTTTCTTGGGGTTCTTCATCAAGAAGACAAAGCTTTTTCACATTTTTTAGGATAAAGTATTTTGTTGAAGACCAGCCTGATGCCCACCTTTCTCACATGTTCCTTTATCTCCTGGGATACCTCTCCAGAATCCATACAAAACTACAATTCTTTCATAGAAAAATCTATGCTGCTATACTGGCCTCCTTGGACTTCCACAGCCTGGAAATGGGAGGAGAGCCTTTCAACTGACTCAGTTCTAGGGTTGCCAGGTCCCTCCAAGCAGCTGGCGGGGGGTGGGGGTTAGTTTACTGGGAGCAGGGAGGAATGTAAGCATGTCAGGGATGTCAGGGGGGCAATGCTCTGTTTTTTGCCCAAAAACCAGAGTGTCATCCCCAACGTGCCTACATCATGTAGGCACGTCACTTTAATTTCCAGTGTTTCTCCCGGGGGGGGGTAATTTTGGGGAGTAAGTGGGCAGAGATGTGCGGCCTGGCAGTGGGAGACCCCTGCCCCCACCGGAGGGGGGGTTGGCATCCCTACTCAGTTTTGAAAGCTTAAAATGTCCAGAAAGCAGTAAATACTAGTTACCTTTCCATTCAATAAACTTGTCCTGGTACAAATAACCATCATTAAATTCCAGACCTGCCAGGAAGTTGTAACTGGCCCCTTTTAAAGGACGATCAGTTAAAATATCATTAAAGATTTCACAGAAATTCCCAGAGCTAGAACAGGGAGGCTTATAGACAGTTGTGTATCCACCTTCTAAGTTATTTTCTTCATCTGAAACAAAAAAATAAAAATAAATTAAATCTGAAGAATTTCCCTTTCTTCCCAAGAATGCAACCAGAAAATTCCTTTCCAGAATATAACATTCTATGGTTGGTTGGTTAGGAATTCCTCCTTTTTCCTACAGAAAAACTGAGATGCTTCCTGGAAATGGAAAAATACAAGCAAAGATTCCTTTAAAAAAATCTGTCCCTGAATAATGAAAGTAGAAGAGATCGAAACAGCACTAATTCAAACCACATCCCCTCCATTGCAAACCAGGACCAGCCATATATCAGATGCCCATGTTCAACATGTGCAACCCAGACTGCAGTGCTCCACAAGCATACAGCAGGAGCAAGAAGGGGCTAGTAAGATTTTTAGGGATCCATCTCAAATATTTAGACACTAGATCTCAACAAATCTGGAGAGAAAGCAACTCTACACCGAAATTTTAAGTATTTTGAACATATTTTTTCATGGCTGTGGGTATAACTAAGATTAACTAATTAATTAACTAGTTAAAATTCACTAGTTAAAACTAGTTACAATTCACAACTGTAATTTTGAAAAGAAAATGTTCTGCTATTCCGGTTCCTAGTAAGGAGGCTCCATGTCCTATCTCTTTAGCATATAGCTCACAAGAATGCATCTCCAGTGTCTAGTATTTTTAGGTATTTTGATATAAAATATCCAGGATTATGCCATCTTTCTGGGATCAGTTTAGGGACTAAGGGCTCAGAGAAGCAAGAGTCATTCTCTAAAACAGCACTTCAATGGAAAATTCTAATAAGCTTTACATAAAATGTCGGGCCACAAACATGGAACATTCCAACTAGATCTTTAGTATTTTATAACCTTCCTGTTATGTTGTTTTCCAATGTTTGTAAAAGTGCTTGACTACAGTTCCCACAGTACATTTCACACACAAGTATGACACTCAGGGGTCATTTGGGGGGGGACGCCATCCCCCCGGGTGAGGTGCGGGAGGGCGGGGCCTGGAGCTCCCTGCTGGTGCCCGCTGGAGGTTGCCGCCAGCTGTGGGGAGGACACACTTCCGGTGATGTCAGGGGGTGTGGCATATGCTAATGAGTTATGCTAATGAGTCCCCCTAGCTCTTTTTCTACGAAATGACCCCTGCACTGAATCTGACAGTAGAACTGTTTGAACAACAGTAGTGTACACAAATCACACATCACATTAAGCTGGATACTTGTTATCAATTTCTAAACACACACTTCTTAAACTGGAGAATGGGGACCTAATGTATGGATTGCCAGCTCCTAATTGTGAAATCCCTAAAGATTTGGGAGGGGAGCAAGGGGAGGACAGAGTCTGGGGAATCAAGGAAGCTCAGCAGGTATGTAACTTCATAGAATTTACCCTTTGAAGTGGCTATTTCTTCTAGGGGAATTGATCTCTGTAGTTTGGAGATCAATTGTAATTCCAGGTGGTCACCAGGCCATACTCAGAGGTTGGCAACCCTAGTCTGATTACATTTTAGATAGTCTTTGAAGTGTTTCTGGGACTCTCAAAGGACTTTCACTCAATTCCCAGCTCTATGGAGAGGAAATTCAGATTGGGATTGTGTTTAGGCCTTTCCCTGCACGAGGTTCCTGACCTGAAAGAGCCCCAGGGGTTGCTATCTTCCCTAAGGAGGAGGACTCCACATGTACTGATGGAATAAATGCAGGTGTCCCCAGTGGGCAAACCCACTCCCTCCATGTGTTATGGTCCTGATCCCATACTAGCCATCAATATATTTCTTACCACCCCCACTCTCCTTCCAATAGCCTTCTTTATTATTACTATGAATGCTATGTAAGTTAGAGTGGGATTCCATATTTTTCCACAATAGCGTGACAATTTATTAGGTAAACCCACATTTTATCTCTTTAATCTGCCTTTTAAAATAAACAATAGTTGTATGACTGAGGTCCCGTTCATACGCGGCGATTTGGGCCAGTTGCGGGCCAGTTTGGGGGCGGATCAAAGCAGCGCGATCACACCACAACATCTGGGAAGCGTTCTGCTTCCGCCCCCAAACTGGCCCTTTCTGGGAAAAAGCGCCTCAAGTTGACACCACCTACCTCGGTGGTTCAACGAGTAGACGCGCTGCACTCCGGGCGTCTGATCGCCGGCGCTCCCTTGCGCCCGTGAGATCCCGCCGCGCCGGGTCAACGTTGGCGCGGCTTTTAAAAGCCGCGCCTTCAAGTGCCTTTTCCCCTGCGTGTGGCAGGGGCCAAATATAGAATAAAGTAGTCACTAGGGGAGCTCTTACCTTTTTCTGCCATGTCTCTGACCCATCGATCCCAAAATTCTTCTGGCGATGAGGACCAGTACAAACCATCCAGCAAATTCCGTGAGAAAATATTAGTCCAGATACCTATAAGGTCAACCACATAGGAAGATGACTGTATCAGTTCACATTAACCAATTAACGTATCTCACCACAATCAATAAGCATGATCTCACTGAAACAGCAAACTACTTGACATCATGTCTGATATCATGAGATCACTTAAGAACATAAGAACATAAGAGACGCCAATGTTGGATCAGGCCAAAGGCCCATCCAGTCCAACACTCTGTGTCACACAGTGGCCAGAAATACCAGTGCCATCAGGAGGTCCAGCAGTGGGGCCAGGACATTAGAAGCCCTCCCACTGTTGACCCCCCCCCAAGCACCAAGAAGACAGAGCATCACTTGCCCCAGAGCCCCTAGCTATACCTTGTGGCTAATAGCCACTGATGGACCTCTGCTCCATATGCTTATCTAATTCCCTTTTGAAGCCATCCATGCTTGTAGCACCCACCACTTCCTGTGGCAGTGAATTCCAAGTGTTAATCACTCTTTGGTATTGTGAGAAAGGGAGAAAAGTACCTCTTTCTTTACCTGCTCTTTCCCATGCGTAATCTTATAAACCTCAATCATGTCACCCCTCAGTCGTCGTTTCTCCAAGCTAAAGAGCCCTAAGCGCTTTAACCTTTCCTCATAGGGAAAGTGTCCCAACCCTTGGAAAGTGTTCCACTTAAGAATTATGGTTTAAAGAGCAATATTCCATACTGTTGGGCAAGTTATTATGATTCCCCAAAAAGAGACCAAATGGTACTGCAATTAAATACATGGACTGGGTTTAGATGACTGCTTTATCTCCTTCACATGAAACCTCTGCAGGCACCATGGGAAGGAATGCACATGGAAGTAGTCTGTCTGAAGAATTTAGTATGTGACAGTCTAAATTTCAAACATGATTTGACAAACGGTGAAAAATCTTGATGGATAAATGAAGGGTAATTGAAGTCATCATGCACATACACATCCCTTAGGGATGCCAGCCTCAAGGTGGGACCTGGGGATCCCCTGGAATTACAGCTCATCTCCAGACTACAGAGATCAGTTCCCCTGGAGAAAATGGATGCTTTGGAGGGTAGGCACTGAGGTTCCTGCCCTCCCCAGGCTCCATTCCCAAATCTCCAAGGGTTTCCCAGCCTGGATCTGGCCACCTTACATCCCCCTGTCCCCCACTGGTGGTCATGGGGGAACCTGACAACCCTACCCTTCAGACAAGCAATTTGCAGATGGATTCCACCTCAGAGGAAACTGCAAATCACCACAAAATGCAATAACATAATTGCCTGAATCCACACTGAGGTGCTTCTAAATACAAAGCACTGAAGCAGTTGAACTAGAGAAGGAACAACTAGATATGTCATTTTTGAGAATGTCTTCCTTCTGCTTGTGCATAAAATTACTAGTAACATAGTTGCCTGGTCCCTCCAGTTCTCATATCCAGATTTAATTCATTTGTGCCCTGCCTTTCTCTCACTGGGGACACAAATTGACTCACATCATTCTCCATTCCTCCACTTTATTCTCACAACAACCCTCTTTAGTAGGTTAGGCTTAGTGTATGCAGTTGACCCAAGGTCACCCAGCAAGCTCCCATGGCACAACTGGGGATTCGGACCTGCGTCTTCCGGATACTAGTCTGACACTCGTAACCAGTACATCACACTGGCTTAAAAAAACCCTGTTTCATATTTTATATGCTATGATAGGAAGAAATCATTGCCATCTCATCTAATTATATCAAAAGGGTTCTTTAGAATAACATTGCCATAGTCTTTCCTGTCTCAGCTCAATGATGTTGGGACGCTATGACAGCATAAACTAAAATCAGTGCATGTATACATTTCAGTACTCTGTGGTTTAAATGACCTGGGTGATAACTACTGCCACAGACTCGCCTCTGGTATTCAAAAATGTCAGTTTTGAATTGTTTTTGCCAAGGATCATCAAAAATAGCTCCTCAGAGTCATATCCCCTGTTCCTACTCTCTGCGTACACTTCTACAAACAATTTCCTGGGAGTAAGACCCATTGAATAAAATGTGGTTTACTTCTGAGTAGAACTTCTTAGAATTGTACCCTCTAGTCATCTTTTCTAAATGCTACATTTGTAATTATAATAAAGAAGAAATTTTACACTGGGTGGACTTCAATAAAAATATTTCAAAAGAACCGTAACTAAAGAAAACTGTCCCCACTGAAGGTGGTAAGATTGGAAATCCTGTGTACCTTGAGTCTGCTACTCACACATGTACATGCACAGTGTAGTCCTACTCAGACTAAAAAATCAGTGGACTTAGACTGTTGTTACACTGTATAGGATTTCACTGAAAGTCTTCTAAACTCTCTATATGTTAACACAGCATTATGGATTGTAATTAATTTAATGAATCCATTTGTTCCTCAGTATGAATTCATTGAAGTGGACACTGATAACTCTGGAGAGACAGCACAGTTTCCCCAGAAGCAGG